CATTATTAGTGAATTGTTTCCATATGTTGGCCCTTTATATTTCTTTTTCTGTGAATTATTCATATTATTTGCCCATTTTTCCCATTGCCTTGGTATTTTAAAATATTCATTTATATGAGTTTTTAATATTTATTATGGAAAACAAGCTGTTAAATATGTTGCAAATATTTTGTCAATATGTATTTTGTCTTTTAATTTCATTAATTACAAGTGAAGTGAAGTTACAGGGCCAATCTAGTCCTTTTACAGGTAGATGGTACTTGATAAGTGTGTTGGGGGTTAGGAATCAGATTCCAGGTGTGGGAGCCGAGCCAGGGCAGAAATGGCCCCTACAAGTGCCTTCTCAGTGCCTAAATGCTTGTTTGTTTGTTTAGCTGAGCCATCCTGCCACCTGTCGGCAGCTCAGCGGCAGCTCAGCTCTGGCTGGGACTCAAACAGCTGTTGCTCAGAGCTCGCACTCCTGAGTGAGCTCTTAACCAACTGAGCTCCTCGGCCGGCCCTCTCAGTGCCTAAATGCTGCACGTAGAATGCCTTACCTGGCAATCAGCTCAGCCTGTTTGCCTTAGTAAAAACTTTGACTCCTGAAGAGGAGATTTTTATATGTTTATCAGCACTAATGCAGAGCCCACCAGCTACCTTATTTGTATTCACAGGATCCACAGATATCCAGGGGCTTTGGCTGAGGGACTGGAAACTTGGCTGAACAGCAATGGAGAAAAAGTTCCCCATACAGCACTATGCAAAGGAAGCCCTTGAAGAATATTTAGAAAAATAGAAGTGACAACATATATTTATACATACAGTTAAATTATACTTGCATATGATACCAAATACAGATTTTAAAAACGGCATGGAGAATCAGGGGAACAATGAATAACAAAAATATAAGTAAGAATCTCATAATACTAGAGGCTAAAGGAACATTAGCAATTTTCATCATTTTAAATTTTAGTCCAACCGTAATATTTTACAAATAAGGAAACTAGGGCTCAGAGAAATGAAATGGATGTGTCCATGTTCACAGCTCCAGTTCCTAGAAGAGAAAGGATTAGAAACTCAGTTCTCTGATCCTCAATTTGACAAAACCACCTTGATTTAGGAGTTCCTTGTATCTCCAAATTAAAAAAACACACACAGATAGAAAAAGACAGTTTGAGGAATACAATCAATAATGTTGTAAGCATTTCTTAGGGGGCCAGATGGACCAATGTCCTTTTGGAGAGTCCACTTCATAGTCGATGTAGAGGTCTGACCACCGCATTGTATTTCTGAAACTGATGTTGAATAATACTGTATGTCAACTATAATTATATATACATATATAACCTCGGGACATGGAGTAGAGTGCGGGAACGGATTCAATGGAATTGTGATAAGCATGATATCGGGGGAGGGGGGTTGTTACTTTGTGAGGGTGAAAAGGGTAACTATTGCATTGTTCTGTACACCTGAAACTAACAATAAAAAAATTAAAAAAAATAAAAAAACACACACAAAAATACATTTTAAAATGTGAACTTTAGAAGTATTAAGATTTGATAAGTTACTAACCAGGCTTTTACAGTTATTTTATGTCCCTGGCTGAGACCCACTCTTTGGTAGAAGGTGAACCCAAGCTCTTCAGCCAACTCAAATCCCCAAGAAGTAGCATCCTTGAGTTTTGCCCACAGACTTGGACTTCACCTAGACCATCAGCTCCCAGTATCAGAAACTCAGGGCTCTATCCACTATACGGTAACAATATACTTAAGGGATCAACTAAAAATACTGTTTCTTGTGAAAATACCATAATGGACTATGAGGTGCCATCTTACTGTATAAAAGAGCGTTTCCTTTACGGAGACAAAACATGGCTTTGTTTTCATTTAAATGCAGGACCAAAACAATGAATGAATCATTTCCTCTATAAGAGAGTGACTGCAGACTAAGTGCTCATTATTCAAACCCTGGGCCAGGTCCACTCTGCCAGCCCACTTCCTCAGTACATTAGTCTTTCAGCATTTCTGGCTCTTTCTGCCACAGTGACCAGCTGCTTCTAATTTCCTCACAGTCTAGGTGCTGTAGTGATGGTGGTAATAGTGGGTTGCAACTGGTATTTTAAAAGCAATAATCCATTGTGCAAAGGTTGACTAAAATTTGCACCATTATATTTTGAAGTCCTTGACTATGTTTTAAACCCTCAATCAGAAATCTGGCTTTGGTATGAAAACAATTTAACTATATAAAATGTTGATTTCTTTTCCTGTCAGCTGCTATTCCAAAGGTCTGTCTGTACCCATAACAATTTGATACTTTGGAAGATTCTATTCTTTTTTTTTCTTTTATATAACCTAGCTTTTATATTCAGTATTTATTGAGTGCCTACAATGTGCCAGGCACTATACTGGGGATTGGGGACATTAGTAATCCAAACAGATAAAAATCCTTACCTTTATCGAGCTTATGTATTAGTAGGTGTAGACAAACAATAAAAACCAACATAAAAATAGCTAACTATTTAGTTTGGCACAAGATTATAAGTGCCATGCGGAAACATAGACCAGGTTAAGGAGGAATGGGAGTGTTATGTGCATAGTGGAGGCAGTTGTACTCTTAAGATATCGTGGTCAAGTGAGATTGTGGTGATGAGATTTGAGCAAAGACTTTATTGGCAAAGGTGTTAATCATGCAGATATGTGTGGGAAGGAGCTTTGTGGCAAGAGGAACAGCTAATTGTGCATGTGTTATAGGGCTGGTGTGTACTTGGCTTGTTGGAAGAAATGGAGACATGGTACTGGGTGGTGATGGGCAGAGACATATAGGACCTTGTGAGGCCGCTCAAAGTCATCAAACAGGGTATACCACCAAACACCTATATAGCTCTGGTCTACCTATGTATTGGCAATTCTCAGTTCGAAGGACAATGCACCTTAAGGGTTTTTAGGCCTCTGAGGCATATCCATAACCAGCCATAACATCCCTCGCCGCCAACCCAAAAGGGCCATAGGACTTATTCTAGCTGGTATTGGGGCTGCCATAGGTCTAACAGCTCCTTGGGGAGGATTTGCCTATTATAAGGCTACCTTACCCAACCTAACAAGGTCTATAGTTGCTCTAGTTCCAGACACTGGAGATGTCCTCCAGAGTCTCCAGTGGTCCTTTGATTCGCTTACAAATGTTGTCCTTGACTACTAGCTCTTGATTAGTTATTAGCTGAATAACAGGGAGTATGTACAGTAATTAATAAGACTTGCTGCTCTTATATAAATGCCACCAGTCAAGTAGAGGAAGATATTACAAAAATATACAATCAGGCTGAATGGCTTCATAATTTTGCAAAGGAAAAGTCCAACAACTGAATCTATCTGGCAGGCAATGAGACACTCTACCTTCCATAACTTGGTTTCTACCCTTATTAGGGCCTTTAGTTTGTATATTACTTCTACTACTGTTCGGCCCATGTCTTTTTAATATACTTGTCAAGTTTGTCTCTGCCAGGTTATAGCAGTTCCACTTAAAAATGATGGTTCTCCAGGGATTCCAACCTGTTCCTCTGGAAACAGAAGCCCTGAATTTATGCCAGTCTCCTCTTGACAGTATCACTCACAACTTTTGCCTCCCACCTGCCAAAATACAGGAACAACACCTCCTTTATCCTGACAGAGAGAGAGAGAGAGAGAGAGAGAGAGAGAGAGAGAATGAGACCCTAACTATAACATTGCCCCCTCTCAGCAGGAAGTAGATACAGAAGAGACACACCATCCCTCTCCTAAAATATTTCAGGGTCTTAAATTCTTTCGGTGCGGGGATGAGAGGGTAGGTAGAAAGGTAGAAATATGCAGGAGGGGAAGGAACAAGTCCCAGTTTGGAGGCTCCTTGATACTGTTCCTGCTTAGGTCACAGATATCCTGCTCTGCAGGCTATCATAAAGTTGGGCACAAAACAACTAGCTCAGCAGGAAAGCAGGCTCACACGTGCCCCTAAAGCAAGAAGGAAAAATGACAGAGAAGGATAGGAATACATCCTGCTTATTAGAATGTACATCCTGCTACTCAGGGCCATTGTAATGAGCTCAGACAACCTTAGGATCAAGAAGGGAGTAAAAGTACGCCAGCTGGGAGAATGAGAGATACTGGAGAGGGAGAGGGGGAGAAAATTTTACCCATAGAAATAAAAACTCTCACGTAATGTAAGGCGAGGCTGCTTCCCCCCCTCTCCTGGGTGAGTCCGCTCCATGTCTCAGAGTATACTCACTTTACTAATAAATTTCTTGCTGTCCTGTGCTGCACAAACTCTGTCTCTTGACTTAATTCTTTCCTTCAAGAATACGAAGACCTGAGGTACAACATTGTTGATGGTAACAAAAGGACTCTGGTTTTTGTTTCGAGCAAAATGGGGAGTCCCTGGAGGGATTGGGGTAGAGAAGCAACATGATCTGATTTGTATTTTTTTTTTTTACTTTTTTTCTTTTTTTTAAAGATTTTTATTGGGGAGTTGGGGGGATGGGAACAGTGCTGGGGAATTGGGGGAAGGGGAACAGACAAGTTGCTGTTGTGTTGTTCTTCGGTCTAGTTGTGTAGGATGTTGCTTCACTGGCCCAAGTTGGCACCATCATTGCGCTCTTTCCAGGCGAGGCAGATCAGTCGCAGGCTTCTGGACAGCCGCTCACAGTGGCTGCTGGCCGCTCATGCTGGCTGCTGGCTACATATGGTAGCCCATGGCAACCCACTGCCACAGAGGCTGCAGCCTACGCCGTGGCTGGCAACTCACAGCAGCCCAGCTCCAGGTTGAGCTGTTGTTCAGCATCTTAGCTGGGGAGGGCAGTGTCACTGGCCCTCATATGTGGGATCTGAACCAGGGCCCTCTGACGTCCCAAACCAGTTCTTAACCATCACACCACTTGGCCGGCCCTGACTTGTTTTTTAACAGACTGCCCTGGCTACATAATTGTCAGCGGGGGCAAGGGAATGAACTGACCAAAATTTCTGACAATCAAAATCATTACATCTAAGTCGCTAGTATTCACTTAATGATGTGTTTATTTACAAGATACAAATATTTAATATTTAATAGGAATTAAAGTGCTTAACTTTACAATGTTTCCAATTCTCTGCTTTTATGACCAAATATACATATATTACACAATATATACACTATCTGCAAGTAGTTTACATTTATATAGCTAGGAAAGAAAAATTACATTTGTGTACACTTTTCACATTTGAGTAAGCTCTAAAATTCTGATAACGTACTTTTTCAAACTGATCAGTCAACAATTCAAAACGCAGGTAACACTTATTCAAAAATATCAGTCAATTGTCACTCACAAAACGAAATGCTAGTTTGGTGAAACAGAAAACAGTTTCATATACAAACATGATTGCTAAGGAAGGGAGAACCCCACCAAGTGATACATTTCAATATCCATATAATGTGTAATATATAATGCAATTGTTATCATAATGGTCCCCACAGACTATTATGTTTCTTTCTAAACCTACATATATATCACTCTATGTATTTGGTATTCACTTATTAAAATATACTACAATGAGATTTCTTGATTTAATTTCTCACTAAATCTACAATCTCACTAATTCAATCTATAGTGAATTTTAGGAAGGAATGACCATCATATAACTAACCTCAAACAAGTTAAAATAATCTTGTAGAAGCCCTGTGCTATCATCTCAAAACATGGAAAAAACACTGCGTTTTGCCAAATAAATGTTCAGTCCAGAAAGTAGAAGACCATGATGAAGGACTTCACAGGGATTATTTACCTCAGTAAACAGTGCAGAAAATGGTCCCATAGAATGAAATCATGTTTTTTTTTAAAGCCCAATGAAAGAGAAAGTAATGACAAGATATTAATTGTATGATTTAGAGGCCAAGGTGAAAGGCCTGAGTGCAATAGATCCCATCAGTATGCAGTTACACAGATTTATTTCTTATAGTTTCTATCCCTTCTGCAGTTTAAGCATTTTTCTCTTATCTTAATACACATTGATTGTGCTTTGATCAGGAGATGAGTAGGCTCTTTCTGTGCACCTCTCTGTTCATTCTTGCTCATTTTCGTTCCTAATCTTATTCCTCTCTACCATATCAGTAAAGAAAGCAAAGTTATCATCTTCTCATGACATGATTACAGGGCACACATAAGAGTGACTGATACTAAAAATCCATGTAAATAATTTATGTTAAAATGTTTAAATTAAAAAGAACAGTTTCTATAAAAAATTCATTCCTATGGGGAAAAAAAGAACTGGAAATGAACAATATTTTTACATATATACATATACTCATAAATTCACAGAAAGGGTTTTTAAAGTAGATCTAGCAGTCTTTATATATCTTACTCATATTTACTGGAGAATCTATAGTAGATAGTACTATGGAAATAAAAAGCAATTAGATTCAATTAAAATTGGATGAGAACAAAGAAATAACATGATCCATTACAAATGTCAATACAGTCCTAAGACTAAGAACTGGTTAGCCACAGTTTTTACAGTAATACATTCTTGAAGAATACAAAGTTTAAGAATGAAAACATTAAGACATTCTTGTCCTTTGAATTAATTTTAGCTTATAAATAACATGTGCTTAATCTTAGACCCGCTAACACGAACATCATGTGATGTAGGGAATTTTAATTAATCTTCTGTTTTGCAATATAGCAAGGATACCTGCAAACAAATAAGACCTTTGTTCCCTTGAAGTTTATTTGTTCCTGTTGGTGCCTTTTCCTCAAGATAGATCCAGCCCAGAAAGATCATAATTAGAGTTATCACAGACAATAGGCTCAGAATAAGAACTTAAGGCTTTGAATGTAACCAGAAATGAGATCTAAAATTTGAAGGGAAAAAAATACCCTGTTTCCACAAAGTAGACAAGAAAAAGTAAAACATAATTGTGAACTTGCACAAGTATTTTTGATATAAAGTTTTCAGAAGGCATCAATGAATCCTTAATCACCCTGCAGTACTATAAAGTTTGAGTTTTCCTTATATACTTATGACTACAACTATTCTCTAAAAAAAATGCAAATGTATATCTATATATGGGGACAGGGCACATTTAAAAGGCTAGTTCTTAAAAAGAGTTTGGTAATTTTAAAAAATTGGGGTGTTTAAAAAATTGGGGTCGGTCACCCAGTGAAGACAAGTACACCAACCTTTATGTTGCATTGAACTTCATGAAAGATGAAATGTAGCTTGATGAAGTAGTGCAGATGTGCTTTCATTGTTTCACCATCCATACCTTTTGCAAAATGCTTTTGATATTTGAATCCAAGGAATAATGCCCACTCCCCTCCACACACATACTTCCTCTTCCCTATACTGAGCAATGAGTTACATAATCACTTCTAGAAGTTAATTCCTGTGTCCTTGTGGTGAGGGGCATTCATATTAAAATAACAGTATAAAAACATACCCTGAAGAGTTTTATTGCTTGCATACACGACAGCATTGCAGATGCCCTTATTATCAAAGTGGCTGGTGGCATTTTATTTTATTGAGTTCCACTGAAAACCTGGAGATAAGTCTGCACTACATTTCATACTTAATATACCGAATGGTAGACTTTCAATAAAGAAAAATTTAAGTTTAAAAAATTGGAATGTTTTATAATGAACAGCAGTTTTTATCAAAGAAGTATTTTTTTTAAGTTTGGAGGAAGGGCACTTTAAAGAAAAGATAACTTGGGAAGCACCAAATTAGCGAAAATAAAGAATAAGACCCATATGGAATGTGGGTTTTAATAGGAAAGCAAGTAATTATTTTTTTTAGGTTCAATTTGTCATGTCTGCTTAGTTGTCTCAGAGAGCAAAAGGCATAGATTGTTCTTGTAACCAATCACACTTTGAGGTCTTTCGGTTTAGCTGAGTGTTTACTAAATGGCTGACTAACAGTATTCCTTTGCCTTTCTCCAAGTAAAAGCATTTGTGAATTTAAAATAAGAAACAGGTAAAGCTGCTTCATTACTTTTCTTTTTGTGCTTGGCTAAAGAACATGGGGTGACTGTTAAGATGGTGACTGGGTAAACAGAAATTCTCTTCTTAAAATATCATTTCTAATTTTTTAAAGAAATTAAAGATAACATTAAGAGCATGATAATAAATATTCTGTTCACATGAGTAACCTTTCAATATTCTAAATTAAAAAACATTGATATGTATTGAGCCAAAACTTGAGTGTAATTCCATTCCAGGAGAAGCACTTAGTGGGGGGAGGGGGGTAAGAGAAGGACAGTTGTCCTGTTGTTCAAAACAGTTTTCAAAAATAATCTGGACCATAAATTTTCTAATTGGCCCTTACATTTCCATTGTTCTATCCAGATTTACAAGTCATCTACCCCAGATAATCATTCCACATTTTTATTGCTTCTCTTTCTTGAGATTAAGAAAAGCAAAGCATCATCTCTAGCAATAGTTTAACTTTCTCAATAACCACCCATGAAAACACACACACACACACACACACACACACACACACACACACACACACACACACACACACACAGTTGGCAACTAGAAAAGAGAAGCAATGTTAAATATTTCTCAGTCTGTCCCTGACTTAACAGGAAGAAGTTACCTTTATCTTTTTGGCTCCAAGTATTTGGTTTAATGTAAATGATCATGGCTGGTATTCCTTTTATGGAGGAAGGCAACCTAATTATGTCAGCCCCACATTAGTTTCTCTGCTCCTTTGGGATGAGGAAAAATAGGAGCTATTTCAAATATTTCTTAAAAGGGCCTGAAGAAATGAGTGGAAATCTCAAATTGTGAATGAATCTATTCTACATTTAAGGTGTAATCCCCAAAGACAGAAGATAAAGGGGTCATTCTCGCGGATTTCTGGACTGATGTATTAAAAGTGATAATGTTTGGGGCATAACAGAGTAAATGAAAAAAGGAAAAAAAAATGAATTCTAATTTGAGAAAGGGTTAAGCTAAATAGCCATGTGAGATTTTAATGTAAGATTTTAATCATAACTATAATATAATGAAGAGCAGCCTTCGTCCCAAGGAATTATATTTTGTCTATTAAGATTCCGTAGAAGGATAAAAGGGGAAAAAAATGCTCAGACTGTCTTCAGTCATCTTGTACCTCCCAAAAAACCTATCATTAAAATATCGCTTTTCGGTATTGCGCTTCCACCCCCCTCTTCTTTAGTGAAGGGGTGTAAAGAGTTGAGTATACACTTCCTTTAATATCTATCTACCCTCCTCAAACTTAGGTTATCACATGTGAATTTTGTTTCATATCTGACCAAGAAATAGGCCCACACAGTTATCTTAAGTGTTAATTATACACTTTCAACCACCCTTAACAGTCTTATGGAAAAGAAAAACTTTACAGTAAATGTTGTTTCCTTATGTCCTGTTTTCTGTGTAAGGTCAGGTATCTTGTATACAGTACAGGTTTTTGGTGAAACTTTTTGTACATGCTGATATTAGCTGCTGCAACAATTAGAGGATTATAAAAGGTAAAATAACCTGTATGACTTTGACCATCCCAGTGACCCAAATGCACTTTATCTCAGAATAATCAAGACTGAAGCATTAATTAAACCCTCATCTTATACTTAAATAGGAATTATTAGCACCTTCAAAGAGAGGCACTGTTTTAAATAGGCACAGAACAAAAAAAATAGTACTTTAAAAATACTGTTGGAATTCACTAATATATCCCATGCCACATAAATTACTGCTTTTTCTTATTATAAAAATATTAATACCTTTAGATGTGAATCCATTAAACATAAATCACCAAAAACATTTCTTAAGTTTAGAACATTGCTCAATTCCAAGATAAAACATGCTTTATATTTAAAAAATAAATTAGAGACAAATATGAACCTAAAGCTGAAGAGAAAAAGCATGTATAGTATATGTATATATATATATATATATATATATTTATATATATATTTTATATTTAATGCTATATATACACAACTGCTATATACTTAAGATATTTTATTCTTAGGACTATTTCTACAAAAACAATTATTATCTTTTCTTAGTAAGTCGAAAGTCTGAACACCAACAATTTGTCCTTCTTTTTAGTTTTTAAAGGACATACATTATTTATGCTGCTTGAGCGTTATAAACTAAATTAAATAATATAATAGCCTAAACGGTCCCTGTATTTTTTTAAACCATGGATCTATTTGGCAACATGGAGGTATATCTTTCAAACTGTTACAAGTCCTACATGTGAAAGGGAAGACATTAAAAGATTTCTTAAATGAAAGTGGCCTACCCTAACCTGATAGTGATAGAATCAATTGATACCATTTTCTTCAAGACAAAAGTACATTTTCAAGGAATAGCTCATTAAAAACTGCTCAGTTTTTCACATTATTTCCAACTTTTTATCGGTGGAATGGCTCTGCACATTAATTTCACTAGAGTACATAAACATAGGAAAATAGTCCCCTCAACAGATGCATTCATGAGCCTGTGTTTTTCAACATAAAGTGCTAAAAGATGAATAAGGGGAGCTGGGAACGTCTGCAAGCTGTAAATCTTCAGACTCCCACACTACGGTTGGTCCTGGAGTTCAGCAATCTGACTTTCTAGGTTCAAGATGATCATGCAAGATGAGTGAATGCTCATTAGGTCCTTCTGGTGTCTCACCTGTGACAGCTAAAAGGATGATTTTCAGCCACTTCTGTTTCAGTTCCTCGCTGTCTGCGGCAAAGCTGTGCACAGACTTGGACTGGGTCAGTTTGAAACTGTGTGGCAGGTCTGCACTCCTTGGCATATCATCCACAATGTAGCCTAGGAGCGGGATGGTGGCCTGGGCTCTAACATCCTAAAGGAAGAACACGGTACATAGGAATGTGACATGTGTTAGCTTGCTATGTGCGTCCTATTGTGATCTGGCTCCTCTAAACCTCTTTTCCTACCACTGTTCCACATAGACTTACACTGTGAGCTCTCTATGCACAGAAATCATGAGCCAGCACTAGCACAGCACCTGCACCTGAGGTCACCGATAATGCCGGCTGAATGAGTTCATGAGTGACAGCTGACCTGCAAACCAGCTCGGATTCATTGGCCCTACACCTCCTGCCTGTCAGGGAGCCTACTCAGCTCTTCATTCAGTGAAAAAGGGAAGAAAGGCACAGTCGTCTTATGGTATAAAAGCAGCAAATGTTAATGATTCTTTCATTACCAAACTGTTTTATTTGGTGTCTCATCCATTCGTCCATGAATTTATGGACAGGAAAAGGTTATAGGAAAAACAATGAAACAGAATAAAATATATACCTTGGCTTTTTAAGTCTATTTCTAACATAAAAAAAGTTTTACTAGCCCTTAATATAGATATGGGCTAAAAGACAACAGGTACATTTAAAATTTTATGTATTTCCAGGTGAATACATAATTGGTTTAAGTTCTGTTGGTTTTTTAAGTGCTACACGATCCATAGTGCCTAGTAATGCTCTGGTTATAACAGAATCTAAATCTGCATGTCTACTGTTCCCACAGATTTATCTCAGATCTATGCACACGTGGGTCTCAAAATTTTACTACTGGATAATGTTATTCTGAGGTTGATTTAAATTCCTCTGTGTCTCAATTTCTCTTTCAGATATTCCTCCATCCAGGGGAGGAAAAAAGGCTTATTATTTATTTCCTGTCATTAGAAAGGCTCCTTCTCCTTCTTGCTTCTCCCTCTGCCCTTTCCTAATTCAACTCGCCTTTTTCTCAGCCCGACATTGAATAGGGATGAGAAGGGGAGAAGGATGCAGAGGGCAAAGAAATTATTGGCTATGAAAGGAATCAACCAGCTTCAATAAACTTGAATTTTAGTTACTTATTTTTTCAATTGCAATGAAAACAGTGAAACCATCCAAGCTCTCTTGTTCTAGACAGGAGCGATGGAAGCATTTTGAGTTCAGTGACCTCTGTCCCTTCAGACAGATGAAGTTTAGATACCTGGGGGGCACCGTACATGTACAGCACAAGAGGATCTTGTTTGGGGATCACACACCAAGCTTTCTGCCAAGGTTTTGACTTCTCCATATACTGAAGAAAGCTGCATACCACGCTGTTTCCAGATACTTCTGCTGATTCAATCTAGAAAAATACAATGGAAAGAAAGAGTGAGAATAAGAAAGAGACAACAAACACAAAATGGACCAGATAGAGAAGTGATTCAACTTAAAAAAAAAAAAACATTCATAAAGTACAACGTGTTTATATGAAATGTCTCCTGGGATCGTCCACAAAGGTTCATCTACAGTTATTACTTAAACGTTCATCTAGATTTATTCCTAGCATGAGAAAATGTTTAAGTCAATTTTAACTCTCTGGATGACCACACCTTGAATTTAAAGAAAGTTAAACATTTACTGTCTGCTTACTATACAGGCATTTTTCTTAGCTCACTACATATATCATTTCATTTAATCCTCATACCAACACCAAGAAGTTACAAATTTCATTGTCTATGACATTCAGATATGAAATAGCTTCCCCAAGATCATGCATTTAGAAACTGGAATGCTAGGATTTGAGTCTGGATCCAGAGCCTAAACTTTTAACCACAGTGCACACCAACTTCAACTACATAAGAATGCAGTAACAAAAAGGCAAATACTGACCAGCAGTCTTTGTCCTGGAACCTGAGATAATATAAATGTTTTTAAAATTGCATGAACTCTTTGTAGAGCCATTTACAGTTTTCTGCTTTGTCTCCTAATAGATTTTATATATGTATATACATATACATACATATATCTATATCTATCTATCTATCTATCTATCTATCTATCTATCTATCTATCTATCTATCTATCTATCTATCTATCTATCTCACTGGCTAAAAAGGGAACAAAACAATTTGACGAAATGATGGAAGCAAATTAAATTGGTTGGTCATCACAGAGAGCGTTAGAAGCACTGGCTGGCCCACTATGGCCGCCAGCCCACCATCTACCTGTTCTTATACTGCCTGTGAGCTCAGAGCAATTTTTAAAGATGAGCATTCAAAATCGATACGATAATAGGAAACACTAACTTTGGACTCTAATTAAGTGAAATGTTATCTCCCCTCCCCTCCAAAGAATTCCATTCTTCTTCTTACCATACTAAAAAAATGATACTAAATTACATTTTAGATTTTGTCAATAAAAATTTGTGAAAATTTGTTTTTTCTCTGGTTGTAGAAGTAATATTCTCAGTTTTGCTTCTTGGCCTGCAAAAACTAAAATAGTTTCTCTTTGGCCATTTACAGAAAAAGTTTGTTGACCCTTGGTGTAGTACAAATAACAAACTAACTGACACAAAGCAATATGCATGTATGGGTGTGTGCATATGCACACATACACACTTATCTTTTATTTATGGACTTCACATTATACATTTATTTGATTAAATGTGTTAACCTAGTAACTTATTTTTCCCCAAGTATAGGCTTTCCTGGAAAACTACCTAGAGATTTTTATTTCGTAGATACAGCCTGAAACTCACCCTTTATAACAAGTTATATTAATGTCAGTAACATCTATTGCTGCTGTTTAGTATTGAGGCTGTGTTTGTGGGAGTCAATGAAGCATTTCTTTCCACCCCCTCTGCCTGAGTAAATCCCATTTTGGTCTGCCATTCAAATAATGTCTATATATCCTAGAAATGAGAGTTATATTTTTAGTTTGTGGGCCTATACTTTAACCTTAAATGGACCTTGAAGTTTATGATCCTTTTTCAGTTACTCGAAATGACCTTTTTATACCTATAGAGTGTAGATGCTCAATAAACAATCATTGATTCTTAATTAACCAGTATGTTTATGACGTTAGACACATAGAATTTTGACCATGGTCTTATTCTTCACAGACTTTCCAGGCTTTCTTGTACTTAGGTCTTATCATATAATTTATTCCTTATGTTATTAATATCTTTAGGTGTTAAACTCATTTCAGATATAAGTTGCATTATAGTTCTGAAGCTTAGGGGTATGAATTTATTCTAAAACATGAGTCAAATTCACTTGTGAGACATTTCAATATTTCAATGCAGTTATGAGATTACTGTCATTGGCTATTAAATGATTCTTTTTTTTTAAAGATTTCATTGGGGAATTGGGGAAGGGGAACAGCGCTGGGGAATCGGGGGAAGGGGAACAGACAAGTTGCTGTTGTTTTGTTCTTCAGTCTAGTTGTGGAGGATGTTGCTTCACTAGCCCAAGTTGGCACCATCATTGCGCTCTTCCCGGGCGAGGCAGATCAGTCGCTGGCCTCTGGATGGCCGCTCACTGCGGCTGCTGGCCGCTCGCGATGGCTGCCAGCTACACATGGTAGCTTATGGCAGCTCACTGCAGCAGGGGACAGCCTATGCCGTCACTGGTGACTCACAGCAGCCCAGCTCCAGGTTGAGCTGTTGTTCAGCATCTTAGCTGTGGAGGGCAGTGTCACTGGCCCTCATATGTGGGATCCGAACCGGGGCCCTCTGACATCCCAAGCCAGTTCTTAACCAACGTGCTACTCGGCCGGCCCTAAATGATTCTTTCAATGCAATAAGTTGGAAGAGTTTTTCATGTAATAAAGTAATATTTAATCTAAATTTTAATAATTTCATGCAGTGGTTTACAAAGCCAGTATAATGAAATTGAGAAACAAGCTTTCCTATGAAAAAAATATACTATAATAATTTGGGCATTAGAAGACAATTAATACTATAATATTTAACTATAGCTACCTTAAAAATAACAATATATTTTACTCTCAAATGCATGTTGGTTTAACATAGCACTGCCTTTCTTTCTAGACAACCAAATATGACCCCAAAATCCAGCAATATAGAACAAAAGTATGAATCTTGTTTGCAGTTCTCCAAGTTGTTAAATACTAAGTAATAACCAAATATGTTATTTGTATTCTTCAGGGTTAAAATACAATTCTATGTTCCTTGTATAAAAATCCAAAAGATATCCAACATTTAATGTTTCATACCTCTAAAATTCCTTTCCTTTTCTTTTCTTCACTGTCTGTGAATCCACTTATTATTTGGTAACAGTCTTTACAAACTTTGTTCAATTTACCACCATCATATTCAAGTTGAGCTTTGTAATCAGAACACTTCCAACAAACCACCTTAAATTAGAAAAGATAATGAAGAGTGAATAATCCTACTTAAAGAATAAGATTTAAGCAATAATCAGTTATAGTGATAACACAAATGAGAAATAATTAACTATAAAAGGCAAATTTTTATTAGACTAAGAATATCTTCATGAACATTAGGAGTATTTATCATGGTATTATAATGCTGTTTGTGATGGGCTCTGCTTGCTTACCTTTCTCTTTCTGGCCTCTAAAGGTAGGAGATCTTCAAAGGCTTGGTCCAGACCATTACTCTTCATAACCCCGGATATTTCATCGATAGCCTCCCAAAACGAACTCTTGATCTTCCCTGCCCTCAGTTCTCCCCTTACACCACCCTCCCCCACTTGTCCCCCTCCCCAAGTGCTCCCTATCACAGGAGAGAGATAGCACCCCTATCTAACCAGTCATGTCCAGTCAGAAACCTAGGATCATGCCCAACACCTCTCTACAGCTCTCCCCCGAGAGCCATCATATTACAAAGTCCTGCTGATTTTACCCCTTAAATAGTCTTTCGATCTGTCCATTTTTCTACCTCTTCCTTGTAATTACCTGAGTCCAAGCTATCAGTGTGCTAGTTTGATTGTGACAGCCTCGTGACTGCTCCTTGTAGCATTCTTACTGGCCTCCAGGCCTCTACTCTTATACCCCTCCAAGTTATTTTCCAAACAGCATCAGATGCTCTCTTAAAAATGCTACTCTGATATGTTTCTCCTCTCCTTAAAATCCTTCGGTCTTCCCTTTGCTCTTGGATAATGAACAAATTCTCAACTGTGGCCTACAAATCCTGTATAATCTGCCCCTCTTACTCCCTGTATCTTTAGTGACACTGGCTTCTACAGCCCCCCAAAGTGCTGTGCTCCCTCCCTCTCTTATCTCTGCTTCATCCTTCAGACACTGTTGACTCAGAATCCTACTTCTTCAAGGAAGACGACTCTAACTTCCAGAATAGAGCACACTTCTTGTCACTGTGCTACTAAAGTTCCCTGTACTCTTTTTCATGCACTGACTACAGGTTATACTCATACACTTGTGTGATTATTTGAATAATGTTTGTTGCCCAAACTAGGCTGTAAGCTCTACGAGATTGTCCTTGTATATTTTGCTCACCAGCACACAATAAACATCTATAGGCTGCTAAGGAATGAATGACTATAATGAATAGATGCTATTTCTTAATGAATGGTATTTTTCTTAATTATTACAGGATAATTAAAAAAAAAACAAACAAAAAACCTTCCAGTTTAAAAAAGTTATCCTCTTGCTTCTAGAAGTATATTTTCCCCCAATTTATAGTGGATAAACTCTATTTAAGAAATATAAATATCAATAAAACTTCTGGTTTAGGTTCACTGCTTGAAAAACTCATGATAAAAACAATTTACTGTTTTCTCATAATTACAATGAAATTACTCTGGGATTTAGAATTAGATATGTCTGTATCTGTAAATTCCTATCAACAAATATCTTATATTTAAATCATACCACAGTATTTTGATGATCTACATTCAAACACATTTTTGTTTTTTGGGGTTTTTTTTTGTTTGTTTGTTTTTATTTTTATTTATTTATTTTTTTAGCTGAGCCATCCTGCCACCTGTTGGCAGCTCAGTGGCAGCTCAGCTCGGGCCGGGAATAGAACCACTGTTGCTCAGAGCTCGCACTCTTGAGCAAGCTTTTAACCAACTGAGCCACTTGGCTAGCCCCCTCAAACACATTTTTGTTTGTTTACCGAAGGCAAGTATGTCAGTGCCTGACATCATTTCAAGCAAACTCAATGATAAGTTTTTTAAAGTCTTACCCTGAGGAAAAAAGAATGTTTGCTATCAATTTAATTTTGGTTACAAAACTGTCTCGCTGAGTCAAAACTTAGGAAAAAAGGAAGACTAAATCTGTAGTCTGAGACTAATCTAAAAGAACTACCAATAAAAATTGCACTTAATCATATTAATAATATATTAGACCATAACACTGTAATGCCTACCTTCCTTTATGGTTACTCGTTGCTTTTTAGAGGAAAGCATATAATTTTCAACTTGGTTTATAAGGCTCTCCAAAACCTGCTGCTACCTCTCTCCAGCTTCATTTCATGCTTTGTTCCTTATCATTCTTTGCATATGAAACAACTCAACTGCTGAAAACCTGTTATGTGCCTTTTCTAGCTTGAGTTGTTAGAGAACTATCATTGCCATTAAATGAAGTAGTGTGCCCTTTTAAATTTGTAATCACAAATCTTTAATGGGCACCTTTGTTTCTCTGATAGGCTCGCTTTCCCTGCTCAGAGACAACCGTTTCATACTTAGCTCTCCTTCTGGAATCTCCCCCACCTCCCTTTCTGCCCCTTTCACTTTTGGCTGATGACCCTTCCTCATCCTTCAATGAAAATATACACGTCATCAGACCTAAATTCCCTCATTTTCCACCACCAAATTACAAACACACCCACAATGCGCCCATCTTTCCCTTTTTCCTTTCTGTTATAATGGAGGGAAATTTCCATCAAAAGCCTGAACTTCCATTTATGCTTACAGGGTCCAGTATGATGAAATTGAGAAAAAAGGTTCCATCCCTTATTTTCTCAAAGCCATCAACTTCTTTGGTTATTTCTCTAACTATTTCTTATGTCACACTTCACCCTATTCATTATGCTCTCACCATATAACCTTTTCGCAGTCTCAGGAATTGACCACGCTCTTTCCGACCTCAGGGTTTTTGGCATACAGATTCTCACTGCCTGAGCACTCTCCCCACCTCCCTTCCGATGGTTAGCTCTTTCTCACCTTTTAGGCAGCAGCTGAAATATCAACCCCTCAGATAAGCCTTCATTTTTCTAGCTAAAATTGGTTCCAAATCCTCCTTCTTTACCATTATTCTCCATTTTTAACTTCTTGATTCCTTCCTTATTGCATTTACAGTAATTTCAAAGGTTTATTTGTCCATTTACTGGACATTGGTCTATTTTCACCATCAGAATGTAAGCTTTGTGAAGCTAGGTATCATTTTGCTTACCAGTTTTTCTCCAGGACCCAGCACAGTGCTTTGCACACAGTTGTCACTAAAATAATCTTGTCGTTGAAGTGATTTACTGAACGATTCTTTTTGGTTTTTTTTTCTAAGTTGATGATGTTACAAAACATAACCTTAATGACCAAGAAATCTCACTTACATGTCCACATGCTCGACAGTGATGCCTTCTCCTTGTCAGTGCATTGAAAGACTCTTTACATTTCATACACATCGTTACTTCATTATCTCGGATCCATCTTGGGGCTCTTTTCCCTAGCTCAGCAGTCTAAAAAAGAAAGAGGGACTCAATTTTAATAGAAAAAAACCTGTCATTTTTATTCAGTCATTAAAAACACTTTAATAACATTGCTCATACCATGTTCTGACACTCTAGACCCAGAAAGAGAAGTAAAAGGTTCAAGGAAGTTTAAGCAGTATGAAAAGGCACTCACTATTGTATTCATCAAAGAAGGAATGAGATTTCTGTCTAAATAGCCAGTTCTGGCATCACAAGAGAAAAAGGCTGGAGAACAAAATGACCAGCTAGATCTTTTGTAACTGCAAAGAGAAAACAGCTTAAAGTTAAAAATTTAATTCAACTTACGGAAACCTCTGAATGAATGTCATTATCCTTTGCAATTGCATTTCTGAAGGTTTCATGCCTCTGCTGGAAAGCATCGATAGTCTCCTGAAGGGCCTAAAATATAAATAAAATTCAAAGCACACATTAGAGTATCACATACAAATTAACGAAACTACTTTATTAAACAAATATTTATGGTGGAAATCACCTTAAAACTTAAGTGACCCTGATTCGATGACTACAACGTGTGTACATTACAACAATATGTGCGTGTTTGTGAATACATATAGGTGTTACCAAAAAATGAAAATAGAAATCAGGTTTACCTTGATCCATTCTTCTTTGTCTTGTTCAGAACTAAAACAAAACAAAATTAAACTGAATGCAGAGATCATTAATGAGTTACACCTGGTGAATAAAAGTGTGTTTTAATGTTGTCCCAACTTTCTGGAAAATTCAGGGATGTTCAAGGAGTTACAATCAAAATTAAACAGAATCTCTGGCAATTGAACAAATAAATTCTTAAACAGAATTTTAGGCTATCCATTTACTTTGGTATACATTATATTTGATGGCAAGAGATAAGTTTAGCTTCTGTTCAACTGCCCTGACATAAAATTAAACAACCATCATCTAGCTGTATGTATCAGGTAACTGTAGATCTAGCATTATCCTGTATATACAACTAATCTTCCAATTCACCTTTATAAAAACAGATGAGACTTTTAAAGGCTACTAGTCACAGCCCAGCTTAAAAAAGATTATAATCATCCTTGAGAATTGAAAATATATTTGTAAGGCCTTAGGGAGCTACTTAACATTTCCTTTGATACACAATTTAATTTTATTTTGCTAGGAGGCTTCAGGCAATATCATACCTAACCGATTATACAATAGATAAAGCGAAACAAAACATTTTAACACCTGTAGGAAGGAAGTTTCACAGATTAATAGTCCCCATTTAGGCAACCCAAGAAACCTTGATAATCTCTCTTCTGTTGTTCAGACATACCTCTTGGTTTTCTGATTTGGAAGTATTTAATAATTTTCTGTTGGGAAAAAATTTCTTTGACTATAGTCAAGTCCCCTGTTTTCCAGTTAAAACAAGTTTTATTTCATCTCCTTTGCAGGTAACTTATGTAGCTGATTGTTGTTATATACTAAGGTAGAAAAAAACCCTTTAGTAAACTCTGGACTAAGATCCCCAACTGAAGGATTTTCAAGAGGGTCAAAGAGTGGGTGGGCTCTATTTGCATGTGTTTGATAGGCTAGGGCTAAGTGTGAGTTCCAGCCTGAATGTCACATGCGTTGGTCCCACAGGTGTCACATACGAGTATGCATGAGTCTGGCAGGTTTGCTTCTGTGACACCATCTTTCCAGTAAATTTATTATTGAGCACCACGGTGTATTGGAATCTGTGTCTGTCAAATGGAAGAGTCTGCTTATTGTTCATCTGGGGAACCCTGGACCAAGAACCTTGGTGGAGGTGGTGGGCCTTCAACATTGCCCCTCAAAAAAAGATTTCTCGGAGCCAGCCGAGTGGCACGTTGGTTGGGAGTTGGCTTGGGATGCCAGCTCTGAGCAGTAGGGCCCCGGTTCGGATCCCACATGAGAGCCAGTGATGCTGTGCCCTCTACAGCTGAGATGGTAAACAACAGCTCGACCTAGACCTGGGCTGCCATGAGTTGCCAGCGACAGTGTAGGCTGCAGCCCCTGCTGCAGTGGGCTGCCATGAGCTACAGTGAGTGGCTGGCAGCCAGAGTGAGCTGCCAAGAGCCTCCGTGAGCGGCCGGCGAGCAACCACCTCACCCAGGAAGAGTGAAATGATAATACCAACATGGGCCAGTGAAGCGACGTCCTCCACAACTAGACTGAAGAACAAAAGGACAGCAACTTGTCTGTTCCCCTTCCCAGATTTCCCAGCACTGTTCCCCTCCCGCAATTCCCCAATAAAAAAATCTTTAAAAAAAATTAATAAATAAATTCTCCATACTGCTGTGCCCTGTCCCCACAAAATCAGCTCTGTTGCCCTGAAATAAAGCAGTTATTTGCAAGACTGCTTTTAGCCTTTTAAATGCAAAGAAACTTGACAAATCTTTGGTGCTTTTTGTTTTACTTTCTCAATCATGGCAGATTTTTTGTTTTTACTCCTTTGTTTAGTTTACTTACCGCTATATTTTTATATCCATTTAACAATATAAAATCACTTAATAAAAACTTTATATAAAACAGGAATACTTTAGATGCCTTTGAATATGCAAGCATGCACAGATTATAAGGAGTCAGTCTTGAGGCTAGCTCGTTTAGCAAGAAAGCAGACCCTTTTTTCCCAGGTGGCTTCAGAAGTGAATTCTCTCTATATATCCAATTTTGGGTTCCATGTAATCTCTCTAACATTCTACCTTTCTGGAACCATCGATGTTTATCTTCATTATTGAGAGAGTCATTATAGACTAGATGAAAAATAATTACTTAATTTAGATCTTCAATTCACCATATAATCATAAATATAACCAGAGCAATGATATTAGGGGAATAAGAAACTTAAGGAAAAAGGACCATATTTTCAGTACTAATTAGAATATATCCCATACTGCATATTGGAACTCTACAAAGTGATAGCTACCTATACTTAAGAAAATTCCTCATGAATTAGCCCTCTCCTAAAAAGAAAACAGCCTGACCTGTTAACGAAAGGCCAGAGTCCCCATTTAGGCAACACAAGAAACCTTGATAATCTCCCTTCTGCTGTTCAGACACACCTCTAGGGTTTGCAGGTGTGAAAGCGTGCTGATACTTCACAGCCAGCAGCACCTTCATTCTTCTGCCCTGAAGACTTCTATGGTGATCAGAACCACTGGTGAGTCCTTATGGCCAGGTCCAATCACTCAGCTAGTCAAAATCATCCTTCTTCTCTGGGCTTTGATGGCCGGGGCCCAAAACCCATCATGATAAGGTAGAAAAACTACGATGTTCAAAACCAAGCCCTCCACCATTTAAACTCATGCTTGAAATGCCACCTTCTAATCCTCAGAGCAGTGTCCTGACAGCTCCCTCAGTAATGCCAGGCTCAGTACATATTTTCTGTGGGAAATCAAAGAACTGGGTGGCTATTTCTTCAAACTTTCCAAGCCTACCACATCTTCCACAACTGTAATTTCACCAGTTCCCTAACTCCAGGGCATAGATTCCTGCTAAACTGATTTATTCTCTTTTGAAAGTCTAAAATTTAAGCTTTTAGGCAGTTAATAAGTATAAATATTCAGGGTGAATTCACCTGAGCAGCCAGAACCACATGCTATTATTGGTGCCAAGGAAGACACATGCTCTTTGACTTTCCACGGATTCTAGGGTATCGGAAGCATCAAGCTAGGATTGGTACGTAACCCTCTGACCTGTGGCTTTTTGGAGTATCCCAATTTTCACCATGCTAGGTCTTTATAGAATAAATGGATGAGAGTTCAAAAGCAGTGATTTAAAAACCTGACAGTACACTGTCTTCCAGTGGTTCGGCATGAGGTAGCTGTGATATATCGTGGTGGTTCTCATGTATTTTTTTCTTTCCAAACATGGTTATGCTAGCGGGCAGATTGTTAGAACTCCAACTCTTTCTCCTCCACTCAGTAAAGTATATAAGAGGAGACACCCTTTTATAAGAGGAGACACCCTTTCCAGAAGTCCTGGTTGCTAGAGGCCACTAGAGCCCCAAATGGCCTCCTCCATGTATCCTTCAACTGTGGCAGGAGAACCATTACCTTTTCCACCCTGCCTCCTCCAAATATTCTTTCCATCAAAGTGCCATTAAGTCCCATGAATGCAGAGCCTCTGAAGAACTGATAGTTAAAGCTTCTTCGACTTTCACCATGGAATAATAAGCATCAGTAAACATTTGTGAACCAAAAGAACAATGGAGGGAAAAAGGGTAAGGGGAAACTTTTCCTACAAGACTCAAAGCTCTGGCTTAAATGTAACAACTTCATTCTCTGAGCACCTTGTAAATCTGAAGAATAAATATCATTCACTGAATGCTTACTGTCTGAAAACCACTATTGTAGGTTCTATGGAAGAATCACAAGGGAAGACATAATTCCTGTTTTTCAAGACCTTACACCTCCCCACTTATGTCCAACCAGATTCCCAGAGGTCTGTAGCATTCACTTGGTCAAGATCCTCAGAATTATTCTATCCTATGATTCATTCTGATGCTTTTGGAAAGCTGTGTGATAGCAATGGTTCTCTTACCTGGCTTGCAGTTCTAGTGTTCTCTCTTTCCCAGATACCTGGAAAGTGTGTGGATATTCCTCATTGTGAGTCTCTACAATTTGCATTCCATCAATGCCAACCCTGGTTCGAACTGTGAATTTAGAGCCCACCAAGCTGAATCTTGGCACACAGTACAGCAACATGTTGTTGAACTGCAGGGAAGCAGAACACATATGAATAAACAGGAAAACAAAGGAGAGACAGAAAAGTGAAGAATATTGAAAGTAGCTTTAGACAATACTCCAAGGAATTTCCAAGGAATATCATAGTTTCTATGTGAGCAAAATTATTTAAATACTATATTGAGATTTTATGCTTATGTCAAAATTGTATTTTAGAATTTATCACATATACTTCCCTTTGTTGATTGATAAATGTTTTATTGAATTTAAGTAAACCAATCATTTTGTACTATTAAAAAAATTAGTTCAATTGAATTCAGCAACAGTTTATTAAGAATCTTCTATCTACCAGCAACTGAAGTTCTCAAGCTATTCTCAACCATATAAGTTGAAATCCTCAAACAACAAAAATTTCTAATTGTTGTGTCTTAGAGAGCAATTCTGTAACAGCTGCTAGAGGACAAAGTGTAATATTTAGCAATTATTTTTATCAGTGTGTTTAATGTTAAGTTAAAAATAGCCAAAATTATTAGTTTCAATTTCATTAGAACACGTTGGGTTAGCACATTAACTCTATGTAAATAACTAAGTCACTGTTTTACACTGGCCCACATCTTGCTTAATAATTCATCATGCATGAATTAACAGAAAAGTCACCTATTTTAGCAAAGAGTCTTTAAAGGTCTTTACGGGATCTACTTTTAAAACTGAAAAGCTTTATTTTCCAACTGAATCAAATTATGTGTAGTGCCTCATTTCTAGTCTACAATGAACCTGCTAATCAGGCCCAAACAATGATTTTGGGAGGGCATTTAATTCACACTGAATATATCAAAACATGGAAAAGGATGAAAGTCTAAATACCGAAGGTGCCAAAAAAGGTATAAACTTGGCTTGTATTCATCTTTTGTTATCGGTATATATTATTACAATTTTAATACAGCTTTTTTTTCTTAAAATGTGCATACATTTTTTGGGGCACCCTCTGGATATAGGTTAATTTGTAGGCAGATTCCTAAAGAAGGGCCATACCTATCTTCCTACTTCATATTTCTTTCTTGCACTATTTTAAAATTACATATATTTTTCTAAGACAAGAGCACCTTGGAGCCTTAAACCATTGTGTGCGATGTGACCTCGAATGTCTCAGGATTATTATCTGTAAAAGTCACAGGTTGTTGAGAGGATTAAATGAGGAAAGATGTCCTCTTCTGCCAGGTCCTCTGTCTGGCTCCACATAGCCATAAAGATAAGAAATGTTGATGGATATTTAACCATACTTCAACTTGTTTATGTGAGACCATCCGTTGTATTCATTCAGAAAGCCAGTTTCTCACCAGTTCCTCATATATTATTTTGCAACTTCCTGTAACCAGTATCATAAATTTCATTTCCACAACTGGATGATTAAAGAACACAAAATACATTTTATCAGATATATCTCCGCACCACATTTCAAATTTACACATCTAGAAGAGAATGCTAATGACCTACGCCTGATCACTAACTGTCTGCTGTATTCTAACTATGGCAATCAGAGCCTCATTGTAGTCCACAGGACTTAGAGATTTGAAAACACTTTGAAAGGTTCTCATCACCATCCCAGCCTGATTAAGGTAACAGCTAGCCTGCTACCTGCTCATGTTACCATTTCTTTTCTTCTATCAAGGCCTTTTAAGGAGGGCATTTGGTGAAGGCCATGAAGGGTGCAACAGGACCTGCAGAGCCACCATCAAAATGGACAGGACTCACACTTTCAAGATAGCAACAGAAAACCAAATTTTTCTGCAAACTGAGTGACAAATGTAATGTTTTGACATAAAATTTCCGAGTTATCTGATCCTTGTACTCAAGTTCATTTTATAAAGTCCAGTAAATTCTTGCTATTTTATAGAAACACAAGTCCACGAATGTGGACGTTCTTAGCATTTGCTTTTCGGAGTTACGGAAGTAATACAAGATGACAGACCATCTTATAATGAATGACATGTTTCTCTTTCCCTTTCATGCTTTCAGGATTACATTTCCCCTACTGTAGTCTTCCTAAGTAGGACTTCACGTTCCTTATTGTCAATAACTATATATTAGCCTTTTAAAACTCAGATCACAACTCAATGCTAGTCAATAAATACTCTTTCTCTTCTTCCAAGAGGTGAAGGTGAGACCTCTTGAAGGATATAAAATATCGCTTACAAAGTATAAGATACCCTATGTGTAAAGGAATTAGGTAGCTAGCTAGTCGTGTTCCCTCTGTGACCTTGCTCCTGTGGTAAAAGCCACTGCCACCTTTTCTCTGGGTTCACACTAGTACTGAAAAAGGAAGTTATAGCAACTGTAGCATCAAGTAGATAAACTTTTCCTTTCAGCATAGCACGTTCCTTTTTAATTCCATGCCTACTGTGCAGAAGTAGTTATTGACAAGGCAATCTCTGGCTGGCAAGGCAAGTCTAGGAGTGCTAGGCTGTGCCAAAACCTAGAAGCAAGTCTCAGTTGTACTAAAAAAGTTTAGGAAGGTTCCCCCTCCTTGATCCCCAGTGTTATTTAACTATTTCTTTCAAGTCTCTTAAAGTATATTTATTTGACTGAAATAATTCAATTTCATGTCTCCCCAGTGACTGTTTCATTAAAGTTTGTTTTAGAAAAAGCCAAAATCAGATTCTAAATATAACTTGACTTTCCAGACAAATGTAACATCCCAGAGTAGGAAACAGAAAAGTAGCCCTCATTTTCTTTCTAGAGAGCGAGAATAAAAATGGTACATCTGAGGTTTCTACATTAAAAAGAAAAACACAAGAAGCTCTATGGGAATAAAAGTGTGCTGGTGAGAGAAGCAATTCTGTGACAAGTACAGTATAAGAGGGGGAGGATTAAAGAATGAACACTGCAGGAAAACGCTTCTAAGATGGTCTTCAAAAGATAAATGTGGTTTTCCTAAAATTCCTGCTGTGTGACTCCATTTTCCCAGGAGGCAATGGCATGATGTGTTTGATAGCTTATAATAACTAGACCAAGATGGGCCCTTGCCTCAAAGTTACTATTACTGTATTCTCCCAAGGCCCTTTGCCATTTGTCCTCCAAAAAGCTGCTTAATTTGGCTCTACATCAAGGTATTCAACCTAAAACTATTTCCAGAATAATTCTCAAATGTGAAAATTAAACTAAGGCAACTGGTTAGACAGAGTTAAAAGTTTAGCTATAGAAACTGGAACACTAATGTGGAAAAGGGGAAAGGAAAATTACCTAAGTGCCTCAAAGCAGGGTAAAGACAAAGGGAAGACACTGATTCCTGTGCATTTTGCCCAGAACAGTGTATTAAGCATGCCTCTTGAATCTGTATTTTTGATGCTTCATGCCTTGCTGACATTGAAGGAACTGCCCCTTTCGATTTCTAGAGACAGTAAATGACATCTGCAAACATGCCTTTCATATGGAAACCAACCAACCCAGACAGCACACACACCGGGACACCTCTTTCATCAGGCTCTCACTGAGTCAGTAATTCCTCTGTCCTCATCACCCCAGGGCGGGTCCCAGACCATGGCCCCAAGCCCCAGAGTCTGATAAAATTATTTATGCTAGGGAATCCTAAACCTATTTCTTCCACCCTGCCTTTTTCCGCTTGCAGAAACCACAATAAGGTTCTACTCAAGCTTTAAGCTTGTTTCCTCTGCCTCGTGACTCTGATGCTTTACCATGTAGTGCCCTCCATGGTGTGGCATGCCCCCTCTTTCTGGGGTCTGTGAGTATAACTGTCTTTGCAATGGCAACTGTCTTCTATATGGTGGCCTCACCATCCCCGAATAACAAAACCTACATTTCAAAATAAGTAGACCCCTGAACCCTGACAGGGCTTCACGTGCACCTGATTTATGTTTAGCTCACTTTACAAGCGCTGAAAGGTGAAGTACTTCTGTTGAGCTCAAATGCAGACTTTTATAGTTAATTTGGATAACATCTATATATTTAAAAATGTTGAGATATAATGTATATACCATAAAATTTACCCTTTAAAAATGTTCAATTCATGGTTTTTAATATAGTTGTAAATTGCGCAATGATCACTACTATCTAGTTCTAGAACATTTCATGACTCCCAGTGGAAACCCCATGTCTATTTCCTTCTCTCCACCAGCCCTAGGCAATCACTCCTTACATCCAGGTTTTATGGATTTGACTATTCTGGACATTTCATATAAATGGAATCATACATGTGCAGCCTTTTGCGAATAGCTTCTTTCACTTGACACAGTGTTTTCAGTTCATCCACGTATCAGTATTTGATTCCCTTTTATTGCCATGTAATAGTCCATTGCATGAATATACCATGTTTTGCTTACCCATTGATCAGTTGATGAACATTTAGGTTGTTTCCACCTTTTGGTTATTATGAATAATTTCAATATGACTATTCATGTACAAGTTTTGTGTAGACATATGTTTTCAATTTTCTTGAGTTATACAAACTTAGAGTAGAGCTGCTGGGTCAAATGGTGACCGTATGTTCTTTTTTTAAAAAAATGAGAACACCCCTCTGCATGACAATTAATTCTTATAAATTTCCCTTCCAGACAACAGAAACCTTGAATTCCCCCAAAGACAATTCATATTATGGTGGTGAGATGACTGCTTTGCAGCAGAAAAGTCAGATGTGAGTAACATCCTGAGACTGTAATGTGTGCCAGTCACTGGGCAAACCTCCTTACCAATGTCTCTCTGTTTCTTTGCCTATAACAACAATCATAATAATAGCTTACATTTACTGAGCTATTACTCAGTGTTAGCTTGTTACTCAATGTCAGCTATTACTATAATTATCATATCATTAGATATAAAAAGGAGCTGGAATTACCAGTGACTAAAAATAAATAGCCTGGATACCCGAAGAAGAGCTCTTACATTTGAGATAAGCCCCAGACTAATTGTCATTTCCAGGCAGAGAGAGAAAGGACAAGTGCTGACTGCAGTGAATAGGACTATGTAGCAAACTCATGTACTTTTCATATAGATTTTTCGGGCACAAGTTTTCCAAACTTGCTTACATATTTCTTCACACTAGAAAGATGAAAAGTACTGATTAGAGAGAATTAGGAAAAGAACTGATGTCAAGAAATAGTATGCCGACAAAATATCCAGGGAATGGTACCCTTTAGCCTATAAGAATGAAAGGAAAGAGAAAAATCTGAAACGAGAAAAAGAAGATTCCAGAAAGCATATCATACCCCACAAATACACTGACAGCTATGATCAACATGGAAAGGTTAAACTGTCTTTAGTATGTGTTAATGAAGTAAATTACATAGGATAAGTACACAGAAAAATTATAGAAAATACTTCCAAACAAGATTGGTGCCCTTGAAAGAACAAGTTTCAGTTACTGAGGACATTCCCTTATGTGACATCTTGACAGTGGTGACTGTGTCAGGTTAGATATAATTGCTTTGGTGAGCAAGCGTCATACTTGTCCAAGCTGTATATAACAATGTGCAAGAATTACTCTTATGTGATTTGCCCACACTATAATACTCACTAAGAAAAGGTAGCGTTCTTGTGCTGATGTGTTCCGAGCAGCTAGTTTGAGGATCTGTCCTTCTTTTATTAGTTCATTTGAAGGATTTACAATGTCTTCTTCTTCTCCTAACATTTCATAAATCTCTAAGAGTTTCTTTAGGTTCTCCTAAGAAAATAAAACAAAACACAGCAAGGTCAAATATAAGGAGGTTTTACCTTAGTGGCTTTAATAATATAACAACCTTGGAGTGGCCAGTTAGCTCAGGTGGTTAGAGCGCAGGCTCATAACACCAAGGTTGCCAGTTCAATTCCCACATGGGACAGTGAGCTGTGCCCTCCACAACTAGATCAGAAACAACAACTTGACTTGGAGCTGATGGATCCTGGAAAAACACACTGATCCCCAATAAAGTTTAAAATAAATAAATTAATTAAAAAATACAACAACTTTAGCAAGAACACGAATAGTTCAGAAGTAACTGAATCGAAACATAAATTTTGGTATAAAATACATCAGTTATGAGGAAATTAAAGCCTGGGAGAAGAGATTATTGCTGGTAACACTAAATATTTTGTAAACAATCGTTTTTGTTCATCTATATCAATTCATTTTGATTGAAACCGGTAAATAATATTAGTCTATATTACTGACAATTCTCTAACTAGAAGACTCCTGTCTCCTCTGAAAAACCACTTACCATTTTTCTTATTGCACTATTAGAATGGCTCGCTGCTGTAGATATAATTTCAAGTGATTCTAAATGGGGGAAAAAGAAAATAAAATAAATATATGTTGTCCTTACTATGCTGTTAGATAGCTGAAACACGCTATACATGATAAGAAGAAGAAATCTGGAAAAAAGAAGAAGGAAAAGAAGAAATATGAGACCAAAGATACATAATAAAAGCAGGGGCAATTTCCATTTAGAAACTGGGTACTTTTAAAAGTTCATTTGTAAGCAGATCACTTGGAACTTAAAGGGTATTTTCTTTTGTTTTCTTTTTTTAGGGTATTGTCTCATAAAAAATCATATACAATGATTAGGCTTACAGGTACATTTAATCCATAATGGACCTTGTACACCAGCTTTGTACGAGGCACTTTGCCAGGTGCTTTCATATATATTATGTCAATTAATTCTTATAAAGCCTTGAATGGAAATTGTATTAGTTCCATTTGGCAGGTGAAAGAAATGGAGTGATGTGACTTGGCTAAGGTCACACAACTATGATATTAAAGAGCCACATTTGAACCTAAGTCTTCCAACTCAAATTTCTACATTTCAACAGTATTATTTTAATAGTTTTATGAGCAAATTAGCCACCAAGCATAACCAACTTTCTTTGGGAAAACACATTCCCAGTCCCAGCCTGGGTCAGATGAAAGAGAATCTTCTGACGCCAATGTTGATGGAAGGTTTTGTTGCGGTGGCAGGTGGTAGCAAGAGATGGGAGTGGGAACTCTTTGGAATGAGCAAGGTAGGAGCTCTGGCACTGCTGGTGGAGGGCCATGGAAGCTGAGGCCTCCTTCAGGTTCAACCCCAGGGGATGCTCTCAATCCTAAATCATTCCCTGCTCTCTTCCTTTCTTTTCTATCTTGTGATTACTGGTCGGGTTAATTCTGTTATCACAGCTACCTTATCACCTCTGGACAAAATTTTCTGTCTTCTTTGTTCCACGGCTGAATAAAATGTACTTTTGTGGTTTTCTGTTCTACTTTTCAGTCTCTAAAGGCACTTCTGTTATTTCTTTAGAATTTTAGTGAAAGTAGCAATGGGAAACCAAAAACAGCAATAAAATACGCTACCATGTTGCCGACTTTGTCATTTTTGACATTGGCACCTTAGAGGAAGGCAAAGACTTGGAGTATGGAACAAACTGAATTTGTATTGATATTTTAGAGAACTATCCTGATTGGGGCAATTCTGTGCATTCCATGGTAAAGGATCCATGGTAAAAGGAGACAAAACAAGAGGGGCTCAGGCCACTACCCAGGAGACCTGTTTGAGTAGCAGTGGTGAGTCCCACCCCCAATCCAACCACTAGTTCTGCCACTAAAACCAAGCACTTGGGACAAATGAGCAGAAAGTGGAAGAAGGCAAGCAACGAAAGTTCTCAATGCAGAAAGAGAAAGGGGAGAAGAGATGTTCCTGTGGTCACTGACTCACTTGGATGGTGACAGAATCATATCAGAGCCTGTGTTCAAAAAAAGACCCAAGCTCCAAGATCAAAGATTGTGTCTTGTGCTCGTCATCTCTTGTCAAGGCTCACTTACAATAGAAGACAAGCAATTATTAGGGAAAGCAGCAATGCCTTAGGATTGTACACCAGTATTATTAGTACTTGTTGAAGAACTACATTTTTAGTTCTTAACTTTCATTCTTCCTTTTAGGGCTAATTGATTTTTTAAAAGTACACAAGAAAGTGACATTCTTATTGAAACTCTTGAGCCTTAAAAAAGCCCTTCATGATAATCTAACGAAAAAAATAAAAGACAACTAGCAGAAGAGGAATAAAGTTTTCTCAGAAAAGATGTTAACCGACACTAAATAGCACCATTTTCTCTTCTGAGCAGGTAGAGCTAACTTTGCTTAGGTTATTTTTACATAGTAAATGCCAGCTTAACTTTTTTGGTATGCATCAACCTATCTAATTAACCAGCAGCACTAGTAATTCTGAATGGCTGTATTCTTCCTGTGACAAGGTAATTGTGTATTGCTATTCCAGATGTCTCTAAGACTATAGTTTTATATTTTAGAGTTAATGATTAACATGAAACCAGCATGAGAAGTGTGATTTGCATTGCTCTAAACCTATGATTTGGGCTCAAAAGGGCTTGCCTTATTGAGGTGCTGATAACAACTTCCAGTTAGGCTATTTTCTGACACATATTTTACTAAAGTGGCTATGAGACCTGTCTTGCATTGGAACCACAAGACTGTGTGGCCACTGAATTATCCCATAATGGAAGAGAGAAGGGGAAGGGGAGAAGCATTTACTTTTAGCATCATTCCAGTCTGGAGAATCAGGGGGCAGTTTCCTTAGGTAGTCCTTAAGGAGCATCTCATATCGGGGGATCCGCTGGACAGGTTCTAGCATGTGATGCTGCAAAGTCAAGCTCCCACAGATCTTTTGTTTCTGTAATGAGAAAGGTTTGTAAAGAAAGATTTAAAAATTAGGTTAGCCAGTCTAAAAACTCACTTTATTTTTTTTTAATATTTTTTATTGTTAGTTTCAGGTGTACAGAACAATGCAATAGTTACCCTTTTCACCCTCACAAAGTAACAACCCCCCTCCCCCCATCTATTG